TCATTAGTATCAAAAGAAAAATTGCTCGACAACAATTAACAAATCTAGTTATGTTTTTCCCCTCTCTACTTTTCTTCTTTGCAAATTCACTGTAAATTTTTCATCTTTGGATTTTCAACTATCAGATTTTCTCCATTACATTTTCGACTATCACAATTTCTCCAATCTAACTGACCATATCAGGAAAGGGGCGTGTTTCCCAGTTCGGCCAAAGTTAACGCATCTGTTTTTATCGTCCTGACTAAAATTAATGCTCCCTGATAGAGACTATGGGCACACGACGTCATAAATCTACGTTGATATAAGTGGCTAATGCATTCGGAGTTCTTCGGTTAGCTGAGTGAATAGTAAGAGCAGGTGGATAGCATCACATAAATAATTATACAATCAAACCCCTGGATACGACACACAATAGAGGCTACACATATAGTTCAAACAAAAAGCAACATGTTTTTCCGTTTTGTCTGTGGTTTTGAATGTTCTTCAATAATTTTAAATCTTCCTCGTTGATATAATGTTATATTTGTCATATCGTCTTAGGAAATGAGCAATAATATCCCTTGGTATTTTTCCATCCTGTCACTATTCAATCTCCCGACATTATACACAGCATCTACTAGTATTACAATTTCATCTTCTATTTTTAACTTATTTCTGATAATGTCTTCAAAAATATCAATACAGTTTTCTCGACTATGCTAATTTCTCGAATATTGGGCTACATCTTTCATGGCCCTTTCTAAATCGATGATTTGTTTTTCATTAACATACATCAATGGATTAAAACACAGATTCTATTTCGTTTCGTTTTTTTTTTTATAGTTCAAAATTTCATTTTACTTGTCTTTACTACACTAGGGCCTGGAAGATTTGTTATATAACCCGCGTTCAGGTTGATGTGAGTGATTAGTTAATGAAACGGTCTGTTATGGTAAGTTCTTAGCGTGCGGTGCACGGAGCTATGGGTATCCCACTAGAAACTTCAACTCTGATTGGCTGCTCAAATGCCGATGTCATAGGGTCAGAAGCCGTTCGTAGGATCCCACGAACCTCGCCTCGAATTCAGGTGCTAGTAAGTTTGCGATGATATAACTTGATACGCCAACATAGAAAGTTAATGAAATTTGGCATGTTCATACCTCATGCATCTCTCGGGTTGGTGAAATAAAGATATGCTAACTTTGGATGGTTATTGCATGACCAACGGAGACCATTACCCAGATAGCTGTTGAAGCATTTCTTCGTGGTTGTAAGGAAAAAGAAGCAGCAAAAACCACCATGGAGAAATCCCCAAAAGACTTACACAAGGCCGTTAAGTATGTGAAGGCTTCTCTGGCCAATTTGAAGGCTATTTTTGGGCAGAAATCTATCTCATATGCGCATCGTCAAGTAGTCTTCAAGGACTCAGACTTTGACATCCGTGCAGCTTCTTCGCAGCAGGGGGATATGACCGTCATAAAGGAAGCCATTCTAAATATCCAAACATTACTTCAGCAAAAAAATGCTCGCTCTCATTCTCCGTCGCCGCGCGGTTTTAGGCCTTACAGTCCTCAGAGGTCTTATCCGCAAGAGAATGAGACGAACACCCCTGGGTTTTCAGGAGGTTGAGAAATTGCTTAAAGCTGGTGTGATTGTGCCATCAAAATCGGATTGGAGCAGTCCCACACCAGTTTTGGTGAGGAAGAAAGATGGGAGCTGCCGCTACTGTATTGACTACAGAGCTCTTAATAATTTTCCATTACCCATCATTAAGGATTGTCTTGATTCGCTTCAGGGATATTATCAGATTGAATTGGATGAATCCTCCAGGAAAAAGACAGCATTCATAACCAACATAGGAAGCTTCTCGAATTTTGCAGTCTAGTAGTTTATTCATCCCTTGATTTTGTGACATAAAAAAAAGCAGTTTGCCCCCAAAGCTGGTTTCGGTGCTTGTTGATGCCAAATGGACGCACGCCTTTTCTGCGTGCCCAGTTAGCCTAGGGTGCGATATTTTAGTATCTTTACGGTAATAAAAATTAGAACAATACAATGTACATCCAAAATGATTACATACTTGTAATCTACGCAAACAAGTCACTCTATAGGTAATTTAGAAGTTATTTTAAAATCAACATGAAAAGTCAACAATTTTGATAATAGCCAGATTTCAAGTACCAATTAAAAACATAAACCATTAAATACACAGTTTCATCATCTACCTTTTTCAGAATTTTAACCTGTCCCACATGGCCAAAATTAAAGGTGAAAATGGATAAAATTTGTATGTTTTCAGTGCGCATTGGATTTCGAGACTGAATATTTGGAAAAGTATATATCCCATCGACTCAGAATCTTTTGTAAATTGATAAAAGAAAAACTGACATTAACTATGCCAATTTTGTAGTTTGTGTATACAATACTGACTGTGCCAGAGGCTGAGGAAATAGTGAAAAAAAAAGTGAATAGTGCATTTGTTCCACATTTTGCCACCTGGTGGCACGAACTGTGTGAATCGCAGATTATGTGTTATGCTAAATTCGTAATCGACACCAAAAGTTGTCTTAGATTACAAAAGTAGAGAATTCTACTCCTATTAGAAAGGTGAGTTTAAAGTACCTGAAAACCTGAAAAAAAATTACCAAATTTTTGATCCATTTCAGTACCCTAATTTCAGATGGCCATATCTCAGTGAGTTTTGGACCTAGAGAAGTAAAATTTGTTAGTAAGTTTAGTTTAAGGCCATATACTATAACACATAATTTTTTGGAGGGGGTCATGTTCCCAACTTTCCAAAATTTGGTCTAATTGACATAGAATGACCCTAAAGTATGTAGCATCAAGTTTGTGGACCCTCTAAAGGTCACAATTTTTATTCGATTTTGATGAAACCTAAAACATGTATATCCTAAAGATCTCGGTTCCTTTCGATATTCGCGCATATGGTTGCTTAACATCCTGGATGATGGCCCCAGATTGTATGAAAAAATCGTGATTTTAGCTTGTCACAATTGTTTTCCTATTTTAAAAGTCGTTACACCCTGATGATGCCTGGGTGTGATTTTCGTAAAAATTGTACCGAAACTGTCCGACAAAATGGTCGCTCCTTGAACACAAATTGTGTAAAAGTATGTAATACCAAGGTTGTGGGCCCTCTAGAGGTCACAATTTTTGCTCGATTTGGGTGAAACTTAGAATATATGTTTATATCCCAATGATCTTGGTTCCTTTCGATATTTGTGCATTTCAGACTATAACTTCCTGGATATTGGCTCATGATTGTACGCAAAATCACATTTTTAGCGTCTGGATCCATCAAAGGTCACAATTTTTGTCCGATTTTAAAAACCGTTTAAATATATCACTGTTACACAATAAAGAAGGTTTCGAATTGAGGGAAAATAGAAACGCAACTGCCTGACAAAATGGCCGCTCTTTGTACGCAAATTGTGTAAAAGTATGTAATACGAAGGTAATGGACCCTCTAGAGGTCACAATTTTTATCCGATTTTGATGAAACTTAAAACATGTATTTATATCCCAAAGATCTCAGTTCCTTTCGATATTCACGCATATCGTAGTTTAACTTCCTGGATGATGGCCTCTGATTGTATGAAAAAATAGCGGTTTTAGCTTGTGGACCCTCTAGAGGTCACAATTTTTATTCAATTTTAATGAAATTTAAAAAGTGTTTATATCCTAACGACGTCGGTTGCTTTCGATATATCGTAGTTTAACTTCCTGTATGATGGCCTCAGAGTGTATGAAAAAATCGCAATTTTAGGTTGTGGATCCTCTAGAGGTCACAAAATGGCCACCACTCATACGCAAATAGTGTAAACATCTCGTAAATCAAGATCGTTGACCCTCTAGAGGTAACAATTTTGATCCGATTTCGATTAAACTTGCAATACATGTTTATGGCACAAAGATATTGGTTCCTTTCGATATTCGCGCATATCGGATCGTCACTCACTGAATCATGGCCATTTATAAATTATTGAACAAAAAATCACGTGTTTAGCTTGTAGTCCCTGTAGAGGGCACAATTTTTATCCGATTTAAAAAAAAACGTGTGAATATATCACCGTTACACACTAAGGTCTTGGTTCCTTTTGATATTCGCGGATACCATAATGAAGGTTGAATTCGAATTTCGGGAAAATCGAAATGAAACTGAACGATAAAATGGCCGCTCTTTGTACGCAAATTGCGAAGAAGTGTGTAATATGAAGGTTGTGGGCCCTCTAAAACATATCTTTATATCCCAAAGATATCAGTCCCTTTTGATATATGCACATTTCAGGATTAATGCACCTTGTTTTTAGCTTGTTCTCTATCCATCTCTTGCAAAATGTGGGCGTATCCTGCCTGGCAGCCGTTGATTAAGAATATCATTGTTACTCTCTGATAATTGCTGTGTGAGATTTTCGTAAAACTCGGAATGAAATTGTCCGACATAACGGCTGCTCCTTGAACGCAAATAGTGTAAAAGTATGTAATACCAAGTTTGTGGCCATTCTAGAACCCAAAAGTCACATTTGTTATCCAATTTTGATGTAACTTAAAATATATATTTATATCTTTAAGATCTTGGTTCCTTTCGATATTTGCGCATATCAGACGTAAGTTCCTGGATTATGGCCCCTAATTGTACGAAAAATCTCTTTTTTTGCATGTAGACCCTCTAGAGGTCACAATTGTTATCTGATTTCATAAACCGTTTAAATATATCATCATTACACCCTAATGATGACGGATGGCCGTTCCTCGTGTAAAAGTATGTGATACCAATGCTATGCTCTGCTATCAATATGAAGCTCTAATTCTACCTGTTCATAGTTACATCTCCTTCCTGAAAACATTGTGAACACAAAATTTTCTGGAATTTAATGTGAAGCACCCATTTAAAAGATACACCCACCATCTCCCAAATCCCGTGTATGTTTTTAAAAATTTGATTTCAAGCATTTCGACAACCAGGGGATGAGAACTATCGATTTTGCCTTTCCTTCTTTCAGCTCTTGTAATTTTTGGGCAGATCTGATATGGCGAAAATGTTTGCTTGCATCAAAGTTTTTAACAGTTTCAAATAAACAGATAACTATGGCATACTCACTGGAAACAAGCAAGAAAAAAAGTGAACGAAGTCACATGCTCATCGATGAAATGAACATATTACAAAACGGTAAGTTCTAATGAACAATGTGTTTTTATTGTATCACCATAAAATGGCTTTCTAGTCCCCTTTCTTGTATGTAATTTTAATACACCCACATGAAAATATGGTCGTATTGCCATCCGTTCATCAGTCCGTTCGTGTTTCACTTTGTTGAACCTTGAGAATGCTCTAACAACAACAGTTATCATTAGATCGGTATTAAATTGATATCAGTGTCTTGTGAATTCTCCCATTACCTACCAAAGAATGCGACTACCCTTGCTGACTGCTTGAATGATTTAACTGCTGTGGGCGTATGTTTCATTGCCTGGCAACCTATTATTGTTGTTTTTTGTAAACTAAAAGGGCCGTTGTACTCAGTTTGTATATTTGTATATTTGTATCACTTGATTCGATGGTGCTATTTGATTACAATCTATCATGTGTCTTGTAATTGGGGTTGTCGTCTGGGTTTTTATACGCCCACATTCAAATGTGATTGTATATTGTCGTCTTCTCTGTCAGTCTAGAGACGGTAAATATTCGATTGACTTCAAATTTATTAGATTATTTCAACGATTTCCTATAATTACTGCCATTGGTCACTTTGGCAAATCTTGTGGACGCTCGAGAGACTGAAGTTCATATCAAATTGAGGTCATGTTTAAGGTCATGTGATTTTCAATGATTTTGATAATTACTACCAGAGTTATGGTCCACTTGGCCGCGATAAGCGTGCCTTGCTCGGCACAGTACCAGGCTGCAATAAATTTCAAGAAATTGACCCGTTTACTGTAACACTTTCTTAGTGATAACAGAGGTTAGTTTAATAAATATATGGTTTATTTACATCGGAACAGAATACAACACATCTACATAACTACAACAGCAATACAGGTACTTAGAATATATACAGGAACGCATCAGGACGGTACATAACTATGTTAACTCTACCATTCTGCCTCTCTGCCAAGGCAGCGGTTGAACTCGGGTGAGTCCATACGCCTGTCTGTGTGCCCTCCGTCTTCTCGAAACCGAGAGACCCTTGTCAGTTGAGCTTCTAAGTTCCACTCATTTGTCTTAACAACCTCAGCCAATTTATACTAAACTTAGATTTGGTATAAGTTAATTAAAGTATGCGTATACATATATTATTGATATTAATATATTAAAATGAAGAACTACATTGTCTAACGTGACCTCTCTCACCCTAATAATGTAACATTACATTGCTGGTCTTGGGACCGTGTCAGGCACGCCAAATGTAGAACTCTTCACAGAAAAGTTAATTTCAGTCACTAAGCAAGTTAACCGGATGAAAACAATTATGGCGGTTATTTTAGACAGGACTGATGACAGAGCTGTCAAAGTTCGCGGGAAAAAAGGTCAAGGTTCATTTGGCACATGCGCAGTAATCCGTACTGAAACCGTTCTCAGACCGGTTAGCGTTTACACTACGAAAATTTAAGTGTGCTGTGCGGCCTGTGCCTGGTACCTCACTTCAGTGGGCCAGATTGGCACGGTACCAGGCACGGCACGATTAAGTTTGACCCGTTTACACTACAAAAAACGTACTAAGCCGTACCTGGCACGATTAAAATTTGTAATGTAAACAGGGTTAAAGATATTAATTGTGTATACTCAACGTTAGCATGGGCCAAAACTAAAACCAATGATTTTTGATAATTACTTAAAGGGCATTACGTAAAATTTAGATAAAGAACTAGCCGTTGTCACTACAATAGTTAAAAAATGAATATATTGAAAATTTCATTCAAATTACTTTATTCTGAGTGAAGATATTAGCCCTTGAATGTTTGACAAGATGTGTGCAGAGATTGAAGCCACCATACCCTCGCTCGCCATTTTAAGATTAAGTTTTTAAATGGCGAACCATTCGAATCGACTGACAATCAGACCAATATGATGCCATCGATAGTTGATAATGGTTTGGTCATGTTAATAAATGTCTAATTAATAATTTATATCACATTTAAGGCCTAAAAGAGACCTACAATAGGCAGATTTAGCTTTTGCATAATGCATGTTTAATTGGTTGTTGCTCTTAATCAGATTTCAGTGTGTTGTAAATGTTGTAATTGCCGACACAAGCAAACAATATGCGACAACCCTTGTTGACTGCGACACAATTATAGATTTTGTTCGATGGTTTCCAGAAATACATTGTATTATATGGCATTGAAACTGCAGGGATAATCTCTCGTGAGTAGTCAATTCACGAAAACTAGACCTTACACTGCAAACATAATAAGTTGAATTTTAATGTTGTTATAATATTATTGATAATGATACAAATTGTTATAGACACAGGTATAATATTGTGGTGTTTATTTTCTCAGAATACCAAGAGAGCCCACCCAATGCTGAGGGGAGAAACGTTATACCTAGAAGAGAGAAGGGGAAGATGTCACCTGAAGATGAACATAGAATAATATCTAACTATACGTATTTAACAGAGAATCTGAGTCCTCTACAACCATTATTAGACAGTTTGACTGAGATATATGTACTAAACAAAGATGACTTGGAAGTAATCAACACAGCGAAATCTGGCGGTAGAAAGGCAATGATACGTAAATTTCTAGATATTCTTCGGACTTGTGGTATAAATGCATATTCTAAATTCATCGACTGTTTAAATAAATCAGGGTATGGAGCAGTAGCTGAAACATTAGTATCGGGTAAGTAAAAAAGCACAATTTACAGTCGATACCATTATTTTAGTTTGTCAGAGATATTCATTTAAATATTTTCCCTTAAGGGACTAATATGACGAATAGAGTTCATTGATGAAATGGTCTTGTTTCAGATACATGTATGTAACAAAGACCACAATTATCAAACTCATAATGTAGGTTATGTTCAAATGATTTTGGTTGAATTCGTGAGTGCGTTTTCTAGTGGGAGGAGCTGCTGTGGCCAAGTGAGTAAGATGTTGGCTCGCTAACCTGGAGGTTCCATGGTCGATTCCTGTGTTGGCCGAGAAAGTTCATCGGTATTTTCTGGCGTGGTTTCCCCTTCTCAGTGGTCTTGATGGAATTAAAAAATCAAGGTTCCATGTACACATTTGCGTGCACATAAGATATACCTTGGCAGTTGGAATTCGATATAAGGGTAGGCCTTAGCGCCGCAGTCCAGGCAAAATCTCCCTCATAGCGCACTGTATGGCGAACGCCCTTCATCATTAACCCAGTCGGAGCAGTAGGAGGTTATTTATTTTACCCCTCTTTTATATATTATCCTGAGTCAAGGTAATATGTTACGTTCTGGTAGGTTATTGTGGTAGTATTTTTCCTTAAAGATCATCTGGGTACATTATTATGTGAAAGTTGAGCAATAATGATAATCTATATTGAATGTAAAAATTTAAAATTCAGCCAATGACCAAACATTCTTCTCTTGGGTTAGCTAACCGATAATGAAATTGACACGTTAGTAAGATAACAATCCGTTAAGAGTTGAACGAATCTTTAAAATAACTGGGTTTTGAACAACCAGCCCCTTGCCATTAGATAGTCTTAAACAATCATATGAATGGTGTGTATACGCATGAAATAATTACTATTTCAATGTATGTTGGGTTATAGGTCTACATTTAAACATAGCCGTAAAGATTGGTATTAGGGAAACGAAGAAATGTACTGTGTCGCAAAGATTTTAGTTTATTTTCGGACATTGCAGTGGTCCTGTCTCCAGGGGAAATCCGACAGTCCCTCCCCAACTCCTAGACTCTACTTTATTTAGACACAATTTAGTACATAACTCGAGAATGATAGCAATTCAAGAAACCAGTGATTTCTACACTGTTAAAATTATTACATTGCCATCGGTATAACTGTATTTTAACATTGCATGTTATTTCACAGTCTGTAATGTAACTTTACCTCTTGCTATTATACATCCAAGGTAAAATTACATATCTGTAAATGGAGTACATGTAAAATTATCATGATGTTAATTTACATAAATTTGTACAATAACATTTAATACAAAAGAATATTGTGTATTTTGACAATAATACCTCATAACTATTGTAGAATTACATATTATGTAATTTGCCAAGGTAACATTACTAAAAGGAATATGTTTGTCTTCGCTTGGGTAATTAGTCCTAGGTTCGATCCTGGCGAACACGGAAAGTTTTCCGGACCTTTCAGCCGAGCATGTAAAATAAAATTCGATAATATAAAGAAATTAAATGAAATGGGGTTTAATGTGCTACTGTTCTGCTCCTTGCAATGGAAAGAATAGGTGACGTGATACCGTCCAAGCAAAATATCCCACACAACCGAATGTATTTCATATGCCTGTCTTTATTAGCCAGTTCGGTGCATTCAGATTTTGAAGAACCTATTTCTCTAAAATGGACTAAACTGGCTGACAAAACAGTAAATATTTTGCACAAAATTCGATATGTAGTCGAAGGGGGAATAACCGATGTTACTACTATTTGAAAGTAAATTTACAATTTTCTGTAAAAATAATATTTTCAACGACATTTCTGTTAATATACAGCTCACATAATGTAAACTGCCATATGGTTGTATTTCTACACTAAGTTTGATGTAATCGTACACAAGCCTTGTATTCATATGCATTTACAAATGTACATGTAAGTTAACAAACCATGTGATCTGACAAATCCGGCACTGTATTTTTACTATACTTATAACTGTAAATATACATATAATTTTAACAGTGTAGATTGGAAATACATTTTTAAAAATGGCTGATCTGTTCAGCGATTATATTTCATCCAGCAAAAGTTTGTTGAAAAATAGCAAATGACGTCATTGTTTTCAACGTTCTTATTTACAGAGATACTGTAAGAGTAGTGACTATTTTTAACTCCGGACAAATCTGACCCTAACTGCCGGACAAAATGGCCACTCCTTGGATGGAAATAGTGTAAAAGTATGTAATACCAAGGTTGTTGACACTCTAGAAGTCACAATTTATATCCGATGTATAATGTATTATTATAATCCAAAGATCTTAATTCCTTTCGATATTTGCGCATATCGGGACGTCCCTCTAGAGGTCATAATTTTTATCTGATTTTAAAAACTTTTAAATGTATGACCGTTACACCGTACGTATAGCCAATGGTTACTATATCCACTTTACGGCAAGTTCGGACCAATCTGATTAAAATTAATTCAGCTATCTTCACTCAAAGTCGAAAAAAAAGACCACCCGTAAAAACGACTTTGCCACTTATGGAAAACACTCTTAATCCCCTCAGACGCCAGTGACGTCACAGTGACCGAATGCAGATTCGATATGTTCATTCCTTATTTACCTATATACAGCCGGCGTGTGTATTCATTAACACATGACTGATTCCTTAATCCCCTAATTAAATAAAACAATTTATTTAAACAAAGGCAGCTTAATTGGATGTACGGCATGATAAAGCATTTTAAATTCACTCTAAAATACTCCAATCACAAAATGTCTAATCTATAACAATGCAAGACGATAATTCGGTGATTATGATTATCCCAGTCACATGTTAAAGATGGGTTCCCAGAAAAGTATTTATCGGGTGGTAATTTCCAATAAAACTATGGCAATTTTGGTATATATGGAAAGTAGAGATATCCAATCTTACTAGAAAAATACTGGATTCCCCGAAAAACACTCATGGAGCGTATACAGGACAAAAACATAAGGATTCACCTAATCAACAGCCAGACGATTAAAAACTTCTGCACGCGTTATGTCAAAGGTCACAAGCGAACATTGAGCGCTTGTTGTACAAGTTGATAAACTTTATGAAGAGTTAGACGAACAACATTTTCTGAGATAAAAAAGACGTGGGTAGTGGATAATCCGAGAATTTAATTAGGATTCTATATTTGTAATAAATAGTAAGCGATTAAAGACAACATTGTCTTATGTATGCAATGGATTCTCCTCTGACTCCCAAGACGTGACGTAAACATGACCTGGTTTGATCGAATTTTAATAGCAGGGCATTCCTTCGCAAATTTGAAGCATAATTATGACAAATTAATTAGTTTGAATATGTTTTTGGTCCATATATGCCATTAAATCACCCAGTTTGTACGTGGGAACTTGGACCGTGGTGTGTATATACAGCGATATATTGTAAAGATAGTGATATATCGTGTATAGATAATGTATACACAATGTGTAGTCTATGTGACATCACCAGCCAATCAACCGGATTATGGTCGTTATTGAAAAATTGAAAAGCGTTTTGGCGTGTCGGAAACTTAAACGTAAACAACCAAATTAATTTAAATCAGATTGGTGTGTGCTTGCGTAAAGTGGATATAGGAACTATTGGCTACACGTACCGAAAAAATGTTTTGTCCATCTTATGTGGTCTTTAATGTATTATTTCAATGAAATGTCGGTGAGATCTCAGTGAAATTTCAATAATATTTTTACCAAGTTTCTCACTGAAATCTCCCTAAATTTCACTGAAATCTCACTGACAAAATCTCTCACTGAAATTTCATTGAGATTTTACTGAAATCTCGTCGAAATGTTACTGAAATTTTGTTGAAATTTTACTGAAATCTCATTACTATTTCTAGGTCTTTATTAAAGGACAATATTGGTGTCAGTCATTATCACATATGTGATAGAACTGGTTTAATGGTTGAACACGTTCCAAATAAAATTTTAACACAGAGATCATTGTTACGATAGATGCGTAATCAAGGTTTCAAAAAACCGAAGTGACGAACCCAAAAGGAAAACACGAGTTATCACTCTATATAACTGACTTAAGTGACAAGTGATAACAGATACACGAGCGAATTTATGTTCACTAATACATGTAATTCCTACGAAGACCGAATGTTGTTATATGAGACTGAGAGGATATCTGACCATACAAAACAGAAAAGAGAAAACGAAAAAATATAGAAAACATCTGTACATTACCATACAGACTATTTCTATTTGTCTCCTGTTCTCTTTATCTAGTGACATTCAATTACTTTTTTTGAATAGTCAAATTTCCTCTCACAGTCTCACATAACAACTGTTGATCTTCGAAGGAATTGTTAGTGAGCAGAAATTCGCCGGTGTATCTGTTATCTCTCGTCACTTCAGCCAGTTACATAAAAGGATAACTCGTGTTTTCCTTTTGTGTTCGCCACTTCCTTTTGTAGAAACCTGCTTTACGCATCTATCGTAGCAATGATCTCTGTGTTAAAATTATATCTGGAACGTGTTTAACGAGTTCTATCACATATGTGATAATGACTGACACCAATATTGTCCTTTAACATGCATTCTAAAAAAAAAAAACAATTACAAAATTAGCATGCATGTATTATTATTATTTTTCCCTCAAATTTCTGTATTATGTCTTCTTAATTTTCTTTTTCTTCTTGTGTAGTCCCTTTCTTCTTCCATAATAAAAATATATGGCATGAAATGACACAATCAAAATAATATTAAATAAAGATAGGAATGTGCCATGCAGTGTGCTATTAGAGCAGACAGCAGTTTCAAAATTATCTTGTAAAAAACAAAGCAAACCTGTATTATAGTTTATTTTGGAAACCAGGGATAAATGTGCATCGGCTGTCACTAGTGGGAGCATTTACTTCTGAATACACAAGATTAACACTGATAATTGTAAATGTTGTAGTCTTACTCTTAAAACTTTGGCTTTCTATTAATCATTTTTAAAATATTTTTTGATTTATTTTCGTGGATCCGTGACCTATATAGAGAGAACGGTTTCACTTATTTTTTTCGAACTAAACCAGGTCAAACTTATAATTTGAATGACGAAAATTAATACTAATAGCACGATCTCCTAGAATTTAAACAGCTATAATCACCATTGTTGCTTTTGCAAATACCCCTTATCGGTACATCCATTTCATAATTAACTACTTCGAAATTTATCAGACAAACCATTCTGTGATAGACGTTTATTGGTGTTATTATCCAGAAAATAATGTGCACAAACACAACTCTATTATCCCAAATTCGTCCTGTTCAACCTCGTGGGTTTTCTCCGGGTCTTCCGGTTTCCTCCCATTGCTAAAGACCCCTACGCGCAAACGAATTATTGAAATAAAATTAAACCATATGTTAGTTCCAAAATGACCTAGTTTGTGTCAAGTGGACTTAAACCCCATTTCTCTCTCTCTTTCTCTCTCTCTCTCTCTCTCAAATTCGCGCTTTTTTCCAGAAATTTCAGCATTTGATTAAAAATGCGGAACCCTTTCGCGAAACAGTGAAAAGAATGTAGGTTAATTAGCCTGTTAACCTGTATAAAATAGCAGCACTGGTTTATCAATTTAGCAATGAAACATGCACGCGAGGTCCTTTTTTGTTTGCATGTGAGTTCCATACAATTTACAACAATTATAGAACTAAAAATTTCTTCATTTGTTTTTAAAGATAGGTTGCCAGGCAACAAAACATACGCCCACGGCAGCTAAATCGTCCGAAAGGTCGTCAAGGGTTGTCGCATATTTATTCCTTTGTAGGTAATCAGGGCCTTTACAAGACAGTTACATACAGATCAGATTATAAATTTTGTCGTTTGAGGGTTTACAAGGTTCTGCAAACTGAAACAAGGGTCTCAACTCTAGAAGTAATCTGCAGAAATTTTTGAAATTTGACAGGCTTTTTCGTTTTACTAATTTAAATAATGCATATAAATTTCATACAGATCACATGATCAATTTTGTCATTCAAACGTTCACAATCGCCATAACTCTAGAAATTATTGACAGAAAATGCTGAAATTCAATAGACTTGTTTCACAAATTTAAATGATGCATATAAATTTCATACATATCGGATGATAACTATCATCAATCGAGTATTAACAAAGATTTAACAAAGTGAAACAAGGGCAATAACTCTAGAAGTAATTATTGTAAATTGCTGAAATTCAATATCCTTTTTCGTTTCACTAATTTAAATCATGCATATAAATTTCACAAAGATCGGGTGTTAACTTTTTGCGTTAAAGCGTTCATAAGGATCAATAAAGTGAAACAAGGGCCATAATTCTAGATGAAATAAACGGACATTGCTGAAATTCAATAGGCTTCTCCGTTTCACTAATCTAAATAATGCATATAAATTTCACAAAGATCGAATGATAACTTTTGGCGTTAGAGCGTTCACAAAGTTCAATAAAGTGAAAAAGGGCCATAACTCTAGACGTAATAAACGGAAATTGCTGAAATTCAATAGGCTTCTTCGTTGCACTAATTTAAATAATGCAAGTAAATTTCAGAAAGATCGTATATTAACTTTTGGCATTAGAGCGTTCACAAGGTTCAACAAAGTGAAAAAGGGCCATAACTCTAGACGTAATAAACGGAAATTATTGAAATTAAATAGGCTTCTTTATCTCACTAATGTTAACAACATATATCAATTTTAAAACAATTGGATGATAACTTTTGGCGTTAGAGCATTCACAAAAAATTGTGGACCGACGGACGGACGGACCGATGGACGGACGGGGGCGACGGCAATATACGTCTACATTTCAATGTGGGCGTATAAAAACAATGCCGCTTGTCTGTAACCTGACACTCTTGCCAGTCTTGGAATCTGTCATTAGACAATGACCTCAAAACTTGATTTTAGGTTGGTTTAGATTTATTCTCTCTTTTTACAATAAAAGGGGTTTATTTCAAAACATGATTATATTAATTGATCCTAAAATATTTACTGTAAATGGGATTTAGGGGTGCCGTAATTGATGACCTATTTGCGAAAATAGCCATTCCCATCAGGTGCCATAATATAATTATCGGAACACATCGGTAAAAATTTTGATGTTGAGTCATGCTAAGTGTTCGTGGATTACGCACGGTGATCGACGAATAAAATAAACGTCAATGAAATTGTCTACTTTAGGAAATAACGTGATTAATTAATGGAAATTAAAAACATTTCGTCTTCTGACACTATTAGGCCATAATTTCAAGTGCTCTCTTTCACAACTTACTAATTTGCAATACAAAAATTTCAATGAAAATTGCAATATAAAAATTTCAATGAAATTTGCAATATATAAATTTCAATGAAATTTGCAATATAAAAATTTCAATGAAAATTGCAATACAAAAATTTCAACGAAATTTGCAATATAAAAATTTCAACGAAATTTGCAATATAAAAATTTCAACGAAATTTGCAATATAAAAATTTCAACGAAATTTGCAATATGGTGAGATTTCAGTGAAATTTTGGTGAGATTTCAGTGAAATTTTGGTGAGATTTCAGTGAAATTTTGGTGAGATTTCAGTGAAATTTTGGTGAGATTTCAGTGAAATTTTGGTGAGATATCAGTGAGATAAGGCAAAATTTTCAAATTTCCCTGAATTTCACTGAAATTTCAGTATCATTTTCTCTGGGGACATCCGTTCTGATTCAGATTTAAATGCGTTGTTCAGATTAGTGAATCTTAAAAAAAACAACACCCATTCCCGTTAATTAGTTTTGAAATTATGGTCCTAGCTCACTGTGTAGAAACATGTGAATGCATTAACCATAAATAGTAGTCATCATCCTATTTACTTTATTTTCATGTTGCTGGTTTCGATTTTTGTTTTATAAAACAGAAGAAAATTTTGTGAGTGAACCAGGACTTATTCAGGGAATTGATTCAAATAAGACTACATTACACGTAAACTCATCCAAGACTACATTACAAGTAAACTCATCCAAAATGAATCAGCTAACAGAACAAGATGTACATCTAAGGAACAAACAGCTGGAAGACGAAGTCTGCGCACTGAGAGAGAAGCTTGAAAAATTCGAAACACTTGAAAAAAAAATAAAAAGTTTGGAAGATGTTAATTTAAAAGTTCTAGGAACTGATGGTGAAGAGGCTGATGTACAAAATGGTTAGTCATGTAATCAATGTTTTAAGACTTAACTTGTATAAATTCTATGGTCAGGCCGTTACACCGAAAAACCACTGTAGTCAATGTTTTATGCGCGCACATTTTCACGTGGATGTATTATGCTGTCGCTCCTGTCCGTCCGTTCACATTTTGTTTGTGGACACTCTACAGGTCACAATTTGTATCCGATTTTGAAGACATTTTAACTATAGGTTTATATCCCACAGACCTCGTTTCATATCGATATTGTCACGTATCAAACCGTTACTCCATGGATTATTGCCTCTAATTGTACAGGTTGTGGACGCAATTTGATTTTTATTTAAAAAATCGTTCTAATATATCTATACCTTCATCATGGTTTTGCGAAAAAAACTGAAAAGAGACTTGCCTTCAATATGGCCGCTAGTGGAACAGCATGTAATACGTATACCAATGACGTATACCAATGTTGATTGTATTCGATTTAGGTGAAACTTGAAATATGTTAAGGATCATAAGATCGTGGATGATTTTGATTGCAGAGGTATGCCCCTACCTCATATGTATTAAATCAATTTTTGTCTATTTTAATGTTCCATATTCCCTTTTAATATAAATTAACTAAACCAAAAACCCGGAAAGGGAAGGTAGGGAAGTCCGTCTGCATCGATTCCGCCTGCTTCTACACCGATTTGCACGTCAGTTAGGAGACAACATCGTACTATCTGAAAGCCATTGCCAGTACATATCTTAGTGAATTTAGCTATTAGTGGGCATATGTTTGGTTGACAATATATCATTTATACTTATTAACTCATGTTGATCATTTACTTACATATACAGACGGTGCCGAAGAATGCAAAGTTATACAGAAAATTCCTTTAATTGAGCAGAAGGGATTAATGATATCCAAGGATTGGTCAAAAATACAGACTAATATAATGTTCTTGATGGATGAATTAGAACCGAAGGACTTAATAATGCCCCTCTATTCTAAATGTGTTCTCAATGAGGAGGATGTTCAAGAACTAGAAGCTGAATCTAACAAAAGAACGCGTGCTAGAAACATGTTATTCAAGTTACGTAGATGTGGTCCCAATGCGTATAAGAAGTTTTTAAAATGTCTTGAACTAGAAGGTTATTCACAAGCTATAAAACAACTGGAACCGCACTCTAGTAAGTATATTTAACATCAATCATTTGCCCTCTTTGGAAGACTTTCCCCTATATTGTGGGTTGGCATCTCTGTTGTTCTTAAAGATGCCTCCTCGCGATAGTATTTATAGGGTAGTTATTTACAATAAACGTATGGCAAATCTGGTATATATAGAAATAATAGACACTCCATATGGAAAGAGAATGTACCTAGTCTTCGATATTTAGGGTAAATATACAACTATAGTAACAATAAAAAGGTAATATACATGTAGTCTCAACAAAATACAATTTATGATGATGATGAAGCAATCTCTACATGTTTTATTCTTGCTCAGCGTGATCTTGCAGCGTCGATTATATATTATTGTATCAACGGTACTGGGCAATCGAGACTATGTCAAGTTTTTTTAGGCTTAATATTGCTACTATATTTCAGTTAAATACAAGGGTCATATTAAATATCCTGGACAGACGTATATCGAATTGATAGATTATTCCAATCCACTTCGTAAAGAATTTATTGATGAAGTAGAAGACAGTATAGAAGGTTTATACCCAGAATCTACTGAGTTAGTCGTCGTAAAACAATTAAGGTAAGTAATATACAAGTTACATAATTTAATTAAATTTAATTTAGAATTCTTCCTTGAAGTAAGTAATATACAAATTCATGATATTCACATCCAATAAAACATTAGAGAAAGTCCTTTAATTTCCTTAAAACACATCTATGTAAGGGGTATTATGAACTGTGCAATTCCGAACATTCCATTTCCAATATATTGAGTAATAAACATAAAAGATTAGATGTAATAAATTTAAAACATATTTATAATGAACTTCTAGAAATACAACGAACCCTACAAGAGCTAGGTTAATCGAATCTAGTTTAAGTAAAACAATCCACCCCTGTGAACCTGGTGGCGAACCAGATATAAGTCTTGAAAACACCTTTGCATGATTTTTTTAACTTTCTTCCGTGGCATCCATGCGTCGATGTCTGATAGTATACAAGCATAAACTTTACCCAAGTTGTGAAAATTAGAGATACATGACTGTCACCGATTCTAAATCTCTCGGCCAAATCTAAATTGACGGATCCCTGTTTAAGTTTTACAAGAGTTGAAAAAGTTTCATCATCGATGGGTTGCAACTTTTGTTTCCTTCCAAATCAGATGAGTTCTTTCCATCAGAATTTATTGAGACCCCTATAAATAATATCCCTGACATTTGGTTCTAGAAGGTTTTGGTAAAAGGCCATTAATGCGTCATGGCTGTAGAAACCTGTCCAATATTTTATATCATCATCTGAACCTTGAAATCGTTTAAAGAGAAAACTGTCCCAATGTCTAAGTTTTGTGACGACATCTAACTCCTCTTTGACATTTTTAAGAGCTTTATAACAGTTTTCAGGGTGGATTTCAGAGCACCAACATCGTTGAAACATTCGTCATCTTCCATAGAGTTCAAAATACTATCTAAAATATTTTCTAATTCATCCTTCAAAAGCCGGTGGGTTTCAGTGTAGTACGGTTTGCTACATGTATTAATCTGTAACTAATGAAATAAATTATAAACAATAACAAGTAAAAAATGATTTCTTGGGAATAATACTTCAAGAGGAATTTAGGAACGGAAGAGCAATACTTATGGAAGAAGAATTACTAATTTCATTTGGCACGCTTCGATGAATATTCTCTCTATGTTTTCTATCAAATAGTTTGTCTTATTTATGATAATATAAATTCATTTCCATCGACAATATGTCTAACACTACTTACCGAGCACACACCATCTTATTTCGAATGGTTTCCTTATGTATGGTCAGTACCATCTTGCGACTCGGCAATGTTATACATATGTTGTTTTCCTTCATACTGAAGTCTTCAAGCGCTTCCTGAAGTATGGATAGACTGTTAGTGTTTGTATTTAAAATTAAATCAAATTAAATGCAGATGTAATGAGTGACTTATATATCGGGTAAACAAATAAATATAAATGAATACATGCTTTCTGCATTTATATACGTTCCCTAAAGAGAACACGTCGTCTGCTTTTCATAGAAAGAGCACGTTCGTCTGCTGAATGCTTTGGTATATTCAGTGGTAATGACTTTTTGGACTTGCTGTTCACACATTATATTCTTTTATGATCGTTGACCATTCGGCGGACCAAAGAAATATTGCTGGGTTACAGCTCATGTAAGACTTTTTTCCTCCAGAAAATGTAGACTACAAAAGTTCGTCCACCGCGATTCTGTACGAAGATTTTTATTTCGAATCAATTGTACCCACTTTTTCGGTCTCTTATCTTCGACTGGCAGTTGATAAAAGCTCAACATTGGCTTCTCTTTGTTGACGAGACACAATGCGGTACACAACAATTCACTTTCGGAATTGTTAAAATAATATGTTTGTCCACAAGCTATTCAATGTAAACAATGGCGAAGTTGACCCCGGGCTAAGACCACAATGTCTTTTGATAAACAAGCGATGACGTAGTTAGGGGTTAGGACTGTTTGGACCCAACAGCTTGCTAAGACTGGTCGTGATATCCTGTATATTACACGTATAAATCCAGTAAATGCTTTGTAATTTAATTTAGAATTCTATATTGTAAACACTTTCTTTTTGTAATAATTGATCTGTTTTTCAGCAAGGGTTGTGTGCAGGTGACTTTCAGTCTGATCTCTTTAGATTCCAACAAGAGTGAAAGTCAACTTCGTCGGATTTTAGAATCAGCAGTGAAGTCTGGTTTTATTGGAAGAAAAAAAGTATCGTCAGAGGGATTTTCATTTGAAAAGGTCGAAGAAGGTATTTCATATTTCTTAATTTGTAGGTATTCTATTCGACATTAGCACTTCCAATTGTTTTTATTATACGCTCACTTTGGAATATGACCGTATATTGTCGTCACTCCTGTCAGTTCTGCAGTCCATAGTCCTCAAGTGCATGGACGCTTTCAGGCTAAAGTTACACAGTATTTATGTTCACGAGATGAAGACGCACGTGACCAATTCCAAACATATTATACACCTGTTGGAGATGGAAAGTGCTTATCCGACTGAGTTAACATGGGTGCACACAAAGGGGCCTGTTGATTGTCAACGATTTCCGAAATTATTATTGAAGTTAGGACCCTTGATCTAGTTTTAGACAAATCTGATGTGATGTAAGCCGTACAGGATCAAGATGTCACCCGATTAATACAAAGTTGTTAGTTTCATGCGAGAAGAAACCTATTTATTCAAAAAGCTAAGGCTACCGGTACTGGGCAGGTGACCCTACGTCTTGTCATGTACAAGCGGGAAATCGAAACCATGCCACTTGACTCAATAACAGACCCTATGATCTAACGCGCACGGGCTAAACAATTCGACAGCTAGTCAATCTAGCTTCTGTGGGAATTTGTTTTCTTGGCTGACAATTTACCTTCACCAAGTGACTAGTTTTGTCACAATATCATTACTGGTCAGCGTATATTTTATTACTTGGTCAACTGTATTGATAAATTCTTCTGTTGAAGGTGATGAACATATCAGCACGGAGGAACAACAGGATATTCAAAATCAATTCAGGAACCTAAAGCACAAGTTGAAAATTGTGGAAGAGGAGAATTCTAACTTGAGAAAACGAGTGAGGGAATTAGAAGATGAATGCAACAAGTTAAAAATACGTCTAGAAGAGGTTGAACACGGTAAGCATATATTTGATATTATAATGGAACATTTTCACATTTTGTCCAGCAGACTTAAATTTTACCGGATATATTTAAGTGTTTTTTCTGAAGGTCAATATCCTCTCAATAATATCACCATAATCGTAACGCAACTGGTCCGTGCTGAGAACAGACCAAAAGGATCATGCTAGTTCTAGAACTGAATTCTCCTGGGTACTAATTCCCGTCGTTAGACTAGAAGAACCTTTGCAACGACTCAACCCCCGCCCCTTCAATGACCAGATCTTAGATGATCACAGCTGACGGTATGTGAAAAATAGAATTTATGAGGAGATTTAAAAGCATGCAACTGTCTATTATTATCTGTTGATTAGGACCGCGATCACTGAGGTATGGGGTTTATGATAACTGACATACAAATATATACTATTCAAAAAAAGTAGGGGATATTTGATTTTTAAGTGTTATTAAAGTCACCTAATGAAACTGACGAAGAAACAAATGACAAAATGAAATGAAGTTCACATTCATCGATTTATTCCAAATGATCGTTAGACTAAGTAAGGCACAGACTGACCATTATAAGGGTAAAATGATACCCGGGGTCAAACAGCAAAGTTACCACAGCATCACAACCAAGTCAGTAACGGGTAAATCCTCCTCTGTTTGCCAAACAAGCATTGATCCGACGTGGCATACTCCTAATGAGACGTCTAAGGTCATTTTGGTCCAGATTGTCCCATTCCTGTTGCAACGCATCAGCAAGTTCTTGGACATTGGCAGGACGTTGTTGACGTTGACGTAACCTCTATCCAAGCATGTCCCAGACATGCTCGATGGGGGAGAGGTCGGGACTCAGTGCTGGCCAAGGTAATGGGGTGATGTTCTGTTGTTGGAGGTAACCTGTAACGATCCTGGCCCTGTGACATCTTGCGTTGTCATCCTGGAAGATGAAACGGCGGCCATGACGTCGTGCGAACGGCACAACATGGACTGCCAAGTTGTTGTCCCGGTAGTACTGGCCTGTAACACGCCCTGCAACAACATGTAAAGCCGTTCTTCCAGCAACAGTGATGCCTCCCCACACCATAACAGAACCACCCCCAAATCGATCATGTCTGATGACGTTAACGTCTTGGAAGCGCTCGTTTCGACGACGCCCCACCCTCCTACGTCTGTCCAAAAAATCAACAGTGAACCTTGACTCATCTGAAAACATTACATTGCTCCAGCGTCGATTATCCCAGTGTTGACGATCCCTACACCAACGACGTCTTGACTGAATGTGATGATCTCTCAAACAAGGGATCACGCGAGGACGTCGGGCGCGAGGGTGACCCCTATGCAGTCGATTCCGAATCGTCTGGCCACTCACTCTCACACCAGTGTCTGTTTGAAGACGAGCGCTGATCTGATTTGCTGTGATGACACGATTTCTCAAGGCCAAGGTACGGATAAATCGATCCTGGGCTTGAGTTGTCGCCCTTGGTCGACCTGAGCGTGGTCTGTCCTGTACAGATTGTGTATCACGGTATCGGGACCATAGCCTGCTTATGACAGACTGAGAAACATTCATCGTCCGCGCCACAACCGCCTGTGTTGTGCCGATCTGTAGCATGCCAAGGGCACGTAACCTTTCATTTTGGGTAAGCCGACGCATATCAAAATTTGTTTTCTGGTCACTAAAACAATTAAACTGATGTTTCCACCCTGGAATTCAATGCCACAATGACTGTAACATTCAAAGTCAGAGTCGTGCAAATCTTGGGTTGGACCCCCATGATGATCCCAAGCATCACCTGCATTCCATGCGGTAGCTATTGGTGCGTTTGGGCGTCACATGTAACTGGAAATGTTTCTTCTGTTAGGTTCTATAGTGACTTTTTTCGTAGTCATTTGCATATTTTAGTATTATGCCCCGAAAATCAAATATCCCCTACTTTTTTTGAATAGTATACTATTATAGATTGTAATATTTTTTAGTGATTGCCAGCCTCATTCTTTGTCCACCACATATGGTCTGTCTGTCTTTCCTTTTTATACGCCCACATTTTTATGTGGACGTACATTGTTGTCGCCCGTCTTTTTATCCGTCACACTTTTTTCGACACAATATTTAATAACTCCCTTCTTATTGAGCTAGAATGTTCAAACTTGGTGTAGGTGTTTATCAGACATTCAGGCGAATGCCTAGATGGAGTTCGAAGCCGAGCATTTTCTGCTTAGAGTAAGCAGAGATTAGCAATTAGCTGATGCTTTGGGGGCTTGGGAGGGGGGCGTTGGATGGCCGAATGGTTAGCACGTGGGTGCTGTATAATAAGCTCTGTCATTGAGTCAATTGGTGTGGTTTCGATGCCCAACTTGTACGTGGCAAGGAGTAGGGTCGTCTGTCCAATCTCGTGTGTTTTTTCCGGGTACCTCTCACTGCCAAATTGATTGAACCATATGTTAGTCCCGAATTGGCCTGGTTTGTGTCGAGTGGACGTTAAACACCATTTCTCTCTTTATCTCTCTGATGCTTTGGGGCACGCTATCCTTAGTTCTAATTAAGTGGTGAAACTTCGCGTATAGTTTCATTACATCAATACCTTACTTAACAAAATTCGATGCTCAGCATTTTCTGCTTAAGCAAAGTGGAGACTTCAATCTGATTGGTCGAGACTTTGGAACACAATAACTCTCCTAAATGAGGTAGAATGCCTTCGATCATGCGCATGTTTCACTATGACTAAGCAGAGATAAGCAATTTGATTGGTTGAGACGTTAGAAACAATAACTTCGGTTCTAATTGGGTGAGTGATGAAATACCTTGATTAAGTTCGATGATGAAAATATTCTGCTTAGGCTAAGTAGCGATAAGCAATTTAATTGGTCAAGACTTTGGAACATCTTGAGTACAATGATTAACATTTCCCGCTTTCGCTAAACAGAGCTCATGTTCCTGAAGCAACGATCGCGAGTTTTACAACATCTAACCGTTGCTTCAGTACTGGGCAATTACCGAAATTTTGCGCTCGTTATGTTAACACGTGATCAATTAGCATTGTCCAATCAGGGGTCGTCGCACATAACACAATGTAAACAAATATGGCGGCCTCCATCGAAACTCTTTGTTGATCAGGTATGATTTCCAGCAACCTTGACATTGATCGAACCTTGAACTTTGCAACTCGATTGTCACATGTAGACTGTTCCTTGTCTTTATAAATTGTGTATCTTATCTTATCTACGTATATCAGAACATTGACAAATGGCGGGTCCACGTGTGAGTCTCCTACCTGATTAACCAGATACTTGTGATAAAACAACTACTTGACGTCTGTGACTATTACAAAACAATAGTTACCTCCCATTAATAGTAAATAGATTTCGGAATCTACATTGCATGTCAACCTGTTGTTATCCGATTTTAATGAAACTTAAAACAATAGTCACATATATTATATGTTTGTATCCCACAGATCTCGTTTCCTTTCGATATTTGCACATTTTGGACCGTAACATCATGGATTGTGGCCCTTGGTTGTACGACAAAACACATTTATAGCTTGAGGACATTCTAGAGGTCACAATTTGTATTCGATTGTAAAAACTGTTCAGTTATCTCAGACGTGCTCTACATACTTTAGTTTCGAAGATACCTTTTGGGAACATGTTGAAAATAAAAACGAAATCAGATTGTGTTAGATAACGTTGGTATGTAATCTAGTTCCGCTTTGGTATTAATGAAACACTATTTTTGTAATTGAATCATTTTGTATTGAAGATGACCCCAAAGATGAAACAATGGTACAGACAGATCAGAGTGACAGAATAAAAACAGACATCAAAAATAAAGTTTATACCGATATTGAAGAAGTGGCTAAACCTCATATATCTGGTAAGTACAGAAAGTGACATGTTGGTGATTAGAACTCAGTGATTCCTTTAACTGGAGTACTTGGATTGAAAAATCAGAAACAGTTATAATTATGAACGTGTCCGCGATAAAGCCATGCAGGAAGTGATAAGGCTCAAGTTTGGGATTTTATCCATTTTTGTCTATTGGCTTACCTAGAGCCTAAACATACGTATATAAAATATATATTAGACTGACTGATCCACCCAGAGTCATGGAAATGCTGAGATGGGTTTTCCGGTTTTGAAAATGGCAAATATCTGTATTTTCACTTGTTTTTCTTACCACCAATTTCAGTACTTAATATCTCATTGATGCGAAGAGCCAACTTACATCTGTAACAATATTTATCGGTTGTAAAGGGAGATAACTGCGAAAATACTTCAATTTTCTGCAAATTATCGAAATGAAATGAAATGGGTGTTAACGTCCTACTGTTCTGCTCCTAAACTGGGATAATGGAGACGGGCATACGCCATACAGTGTGCTATGAGGGGAATTTTGCCCGGGCAGCGGCACTACGGTCTACTCTTATATCGAATTCCAACTGCCAATGGATCTTTTACATGCACGCGAATATGTACACGGGACCTCCCATCCGAACAACTAGACAGCTATCCTTGTCAGGACCTTCTGGATGAACTTTCTCGGCCAATGCAGGGATCGAACACCCGACCATTCGGACCAAGACCAGTCGGACCAAAGACATGTCGAACCAACATAACGCCATTCAGACCAAAATAGAAGCCCAAGACCAGTTTGACCAGCTGATAGACCACTCTGAACCAAGATTAGAATTTTACCCGGATTAACATTAGAAGACCATTCGGACCAAGTTTTGAAGACCATTCGGACCAATAATATAAGACAATTCGCACCAAGACCAGTTGGACGAACAGACGACAACTAAAACAGAAGACCACTCCGACCAAGACCACTCGGGGCAAGACAGAAGCCCATTCGGACCAAGACCGATTAGAAGACCACTCAGGCTGAGATTAGAAGACCACCCGGACATTGATTAGAAGAGCATTGGGACTAAGATAAGAAGACCACTCGGGCCGAGATTAGAAGAGCATTCCGACCACGATTGATTAGAAGGCCACTCGGGCCAAATTAAAATAAACGACTACTCAATATATTGTTATTTATTTATTTAGAAGACCAATTGTTGATCAGCCATGCACCAAAATAATGTTTTCTTGAATTTTTGTTGTTGATAGCCTTCATCGTCAAGGCTCTCTCAGTCATGCTTAAATTAAAAGAGGCATCAACCCCTAAAGTGAAGACCATGTGTTGAGGTTAGTCCTTTCAGTTGCTGGTACTTGATAACTGTCCTATAGCCAGTTTTGTAGTATTTCAATTGATAGGTTCACAAGATGGTCTGGTACGAAGACAATAATAACACTATAGTTGTAGTTCTTATGTCTATGATTCATTCAATGATGATACTTGTTGGTGGCAAACGTTTGTTTCAACCCAATTGATCTATCCTGATCTAGGCTTAGAACTTTTCAGACCGTCATCGTATCATAAACTTATAAGACCACTCAACCTAATATTTTGGTTAACAAATACTATCTTTATTATATTTTACGGGTAAGTATTTTTGCATATTTGATTTAACCGATGAATGTTTTTGAAAAAGGCCAACTCAAACCACGTCAGAAAATATTAACGTGAATAGCGTGGTTATTAAAAGGCTCTACCAAACGATAAAACATTGATAGAAAGAAAAGACGAAAAAATAAAAAACTTATTAAAGTTCTTATTTCGCTTAAAGATACTTTCTCAGAAAACTATTTATCGGGTAGTTATTTCCAATAAAAGTATGGCAATTGTGGTATATATGGAAAGTAGAAACATCCAATCTTACTAGAAAAATACTGGATTTCCTGAAAAACACCCATGGAGCGAATACGGGACAAAAAAAGAAGGGTTTTCCTAATCGGCAACCCGGGTGACGTCAAAGGTTGAACGCGAAGATTGTCTGATCTCTCAGCGTTAGTGAGCGCTTGATGTATATGTTGATAAACTTGATGGTGAGTGGACTAGTAAAAAATTGAGAGACTTAAACGTACAACATTTTCTGAGATAAAAATTACGGAAATGACGTGGGCAGTGATAATCCGAGAATTTAATTAGGCTTCAATATTTATGATAAATGGACAGCGATTAAAGACAACATCGTCTTGTATATGCAAGGTCACGTGACACCAACATGACTTATTTTAATAGATTTTTAAATCGTGGGGTATTTTCTCGCGAAAATGTTTTGAGAAGGATTTAAAGCACAATTATGATAGATTAATTAGTTTGAATATGTTTTTAGTCCAAATAAATCATCAAATCAAATAGTTTGTAAAGGGAAGGTATCTTTAATGGTTAATCCAGCCCTGTGTTCTTTGGTAACCATAGATTCTGGTAAAAGTAGTATATTAAAAACGGAATAATATGTTGATGAATTTAATTGAAAATATTTACACGACATGCACGATTATTCAAAGTATCTACCGATTTTAATGACAAAACGTAAACTGATCTTTGACACGCATTCCACGACAAGCTTGCAATAAAAGGCAGTACAAATCGATAAATATAGTACACACAAAGAATAGTCTTTTCCGAAATACAAGTATACGAATTAATAACTATTCAGTTGTTGATGACTCGTTGAGATTTTTTTCTATGCTTCATGATGAGATGATAAGAAAGTTAAAAAGAAAACAAATGTAGAAAAACAAACATAAATATCAATTTATTAAAATAACACTTTAATATTAAAACAAACACTATTATCAATTTATTAAAACAACACTGTATTATTTCAAAAACATTGGTTGAAGTGGTCTTCTCTCTTGGTCCGAGTGGTCATCTATCTTGGTCCGAGCGATCTTCTGCCTTGGTGCGAGTGATATACGGTCTTGGTCCGAGTGATCTTCTATCTTGGTCCGAGTGGTCTATTAACTGATCCGGCCGGTTTTGGTCCGAGTGGTATTTGGCCTGAGTTGTCATGCATTCATTTGTTTTGGGTTTTCAATGTTAACGTTCTCTTGTTTATCCAAATTCGGAATTTTTGTACGGAAACAAATGAACACTCACTACGATTTGGGTCTATTCGTTTATTTCGTAATTTGCAACCTGACAAAATCTGCTCCAAGATTCAATTGAATCTGAGGTCTCCTAGCATTCGCAACACAGCTTAGTTTTTGAACGGCCATTCCCGTGTACATGTGCCTAAAGTGTGCAGCACAATTTGGTTTAAACATGTGTGCATTTATATTTCTGTAAACCTATAGACAAATAGGTCTATTGATATTGGTATTTATATGTGAACATGCCTTTGTAAATTTAAATTTGTATTCCATTAAAGAAATAAACATGCTCGAAAGAACGTTTATTTTAGAAAAGTTTCATGGAACAATTGGAGTATTAAGTAAAGAATGACAGGCTATTTCAATCAATCCAAATGATTAAATATGCAATAGTTGATCAAGTTATCAACAGATTTGAGATGTACACTGATATCTTAAAGTTGGGTTTGCATAAGTGATTACAAACTAGATGATACATAAGAACAATTTCAAATTATAGATCACGTTCCTTCTTGTATGGTAGCATTTACACAAGAATAAATATGCTGATTATTTTAATATGTATTTCCTATAACTTTATAGGGACTGAAAGCGATCGATAACATTAACAAAAACACATCTCATCGTGACCAACGCCCTCTGAATCAACATGCGGGTATGTTAGATCAACTTTCGTAACTGAACGACGTATTTTACAACACTCTTAAATAATATACATTTATATGTACAGTATAACATCTATCTTATCAGAAATCTGGTTAAAACAGTCAATATTGTCATGTCAGCTGTTATACGACAGAAATGCGAGGTTTTCAAAGATAAATTAAGTTAAAAATTAAGGTAGCCTAATCAGCACAGGTGTATTCACTTTATCAAACATGACCTTTTAAGTTATTTCACAAATCGATTGATAATAAATAATACTCATTATTTACCAAACACAGATCTGTAATGTAGAACTAAAAACAACTAAATCTTCAGTAGTGTTTTGTAAAATTTGCCTTCTGAAAATTAACCGATTGGTTTAAAGAAAACAGTATAAAATGAATTGTTAAAATACTGGCAGAACTCGAACACCAAGGATTAAAGTCATCTCGATAGTTTTTAAATGTACTTTCTAAACTCGTCAAAGAGGACTTCCAAAACATGGATCAGTGTTGAATTAAGATTCAGATCAGAATTAAATTTCGTTAGGATATCAATGACGAATCATTTTCAGTTTTGATTAGAGATTCAAACGGTGTGATTTACCTTTAACAAAGTTTTTAGTATTTGTGTTTTTGGAAAAAAATTATTTCATTTATCAGAGTTCATATCAAGATCATTAATGCGCCACACCGGGACAGTAATTAATTTATCAATCAAGTCCAAAACCTGGCACTCTATGACATAGCTGAATTTTAATATCTAAAAATATGTTTTGGGTTAATCTGTTTTCTCTTCCAAATCACCAAGAAAATATTATATGCTTAGCCATGTGATTTAAAATTGCGGCCCTGTGGAAAAGATTATTGGCGTTAGCGACAATTGTGAAATCTTAAGGTACTTGAGATATAACTTAAAACGGAAATAAAAACCCGACTTTTCGTCCACACCCTATGTAAAGGCTTTAAAGAAACACCCATATCTGTTTCACAAAAATGAAAAATCGGTTTTAAACATTTGGGCCAAATTCGTTTTAAAATACAGTTCCTAAAATTTCTTTATTTCAGTCGCACTTTTATCGGCCAAACCATTTCATAGATGAAGACGGCAAACGAACTGATTTATATTTAAGTGAATGTTTCGCTCTGAATCTGATAATCTGACCAGATGCATCGTTCGTTCGTTACTGGAGTATTACGTCCACTTCCACCTAAGGTGATATCGCAGACAAACCAGATGCAT